CGCACATATGTCAGCACATTACACTCACATTTCCTGCCACAGAAGTCCTGGCTTTTGGAAATCAAACATCAAGAACTGACTTCTCTATTTTATTATGTAATTCCTCTCTAGAATCAATGAATGCTGCTTGTCAAGTTACAAGAATGGTTTGGTGTCAGGGTAGAACATAACAAAAAAAAAAATACCAGGGAGAAAAGTGGAGGTTCATATTTCAAAAACCTTAATCTGTCATTTTTGAAATAAATTGAAATGAGAAGAGATGAAATATAGAGAGATCAAGTAAGAAAGCTTCTGTAATAAATCAAGCAGAAAATAATGAAGACTTGAACTTGGTCGGTGGCTATGAGGAAAAAAAATTTCAGATAACCTGACTGAAGGCTACAGAGCATTGAGGTAGACTCTCCAAGGTTTGGCAACCAGTGGGAACAGGCAAAGCCAAGAGAAGGGTGAGCCACCAACCTCCCTCTCGATGCAGTGCCTGCACGCTTCACCCACCCCATACTCTCTGCCTCCCGTTGGGTGTGTTGTCTAGGTCTGCAGTTTCTCCAGTGTCTCATCTTGTCTTCTGTTAGCAAGATGGAGCTCTCTTCCTTTAGATAGCTAGGCTATGTTTGACTTAACCCCAGATATTGGTCTGATAGCGGAAAGGAGATGTGCGGGTAGACCCTGCACTGGACACTTACGGTTGGCGAGGCAGAGGCTTCTGTACCATTTTCAAAGGAAGCAGGGAGTATCGACCATTAACGGGGGGAGCTGATCACTCTGGTAGGGCTAGGCCATTTTCTTCTGGTCTGTCGTCCATTCACTCATTTAGTCTTGCCCTGTCCAATATGCTGTTGGTGTATTCATTTAATTTTTGATTTCCTACCATATTTATTTACAGAATTGCTGTGCTGTTTAGTTCTTTCTGAAATCTCGAAATCTATGACACTTTTTATACTTTCTTGTTCACTAAATATATTTGCAAGTTTATTTCTTTAATCAAAGTAAGCACAGTTATTTTAACTTTGGGCTAGTAATTTTTATTTTCAAAATTATGGTATGAATTTATGACTACATTATTATTTTAGTTAGCAGAATGTCCTCCAGGTTTATTCATATTATTATTATTGTAAATGACAGGATTTCCTTTTTTTTTTTTTTTGGAGAGGTTTTTGCTATAGGGCACGTGCGTTCGCCAGACAGACAGAGACAGACAGAAAGTGAGAAATCACCCCCCAGGGGGGATGGCCACCCCGCAATCCCTTCTCCTCCATTCTCCTCTCGGGATCTTGGGCATGCATCCTCACGCATCCGGCAAGAGTTTTAAACTGCTGGGTCCAGGACTCCCTGTGGTCGACTACGTGGAAGTCCAGCCACATAACCATTATGCCATCCACTGGTCCCACAAGCATGTATGTTAATATGCATTGTCTGGAGCTCCTCCCCATGTCTATTTTAGCTCTGCCTTTAACTGATTTGTTCTCAGTGATATTCCTGTATCATTGAGATTATATTTACTATCTTATATTAAGACTAAATATTTCATAATAACATAGAGACACCTAAGAATGGAAGTAGTGGTAGGGGCTGGCAGGTGGTGTGGTGGTTAAGGAGCTGGACTCCCACATGACTGACCATGGTTTGAGTCCTGGGCCTGGCAGCTTGCTTTCTCACATTCTCTCTCTCTCTGTCTGTCTCTGGTCCAATTTTTAAAAATTAATAATAATAAAAAAATAAATTTAAAGAAAGTAATTATTTAGAAGAGAAATGGAGGCAGTATTTTTATTTTTTCCATGCAAATATCTGGACACTATCTCTTGACTCTGCTTTGGACTATACTTTGTCTGTCCTGCTTGTTGTAATCCATAGCACTTCACTTTATAGTTTTCTTCTAGATTTTTGGCCCAATTTGTGTTCAAGCTCTGTAGCCATGTTATTAATTAGTTAACCAAACAGCTACTTCTGACATCCTGAAATGTGTGTCTTCTTTTCCCAGCTCTTTGGTATTCATGACTATGAGGCTTGTTTTCTTATATCATCTGTGAATTTTTATACCCCTTTATCTTCTATAGTGATAACTTTCATCTGGGGAAGAAAATGCAATGCCTGCTCTGAAGGCATTCTATTTCTTGCCCAGGACAATAAAGTCACTAAAAATGCATCCCATATAGCTCGTCTCACCATTCTACAACAAATCAATAACTGGGTCAGAGTTCACAGGTCTGCCGTTACTTGTCAAGAGTTTGGCTAAGACATTGAAAAAATAGAACAAGTAGTTCTCAACATTTCTTGAACGTGTTCAGCACAATCATTCTCTGAATATAAAGTCAATAAAAACGAACAAATAAGATTAACCCTCTCTGACAAACCCACCCTAAAGGGCAATTTGAAAATTTCATTTAGCAAGACCAGATGTCTGTCTTGATAGAAATTTCCATCAAACCTTCTGTTTCTCAGTAGAAGAAAATATAACTAAAGTGAGACACACTCATATACTTAAGTATCATGACCCAAAAGTAGTGATTTATGTGGAATCTGAGAAATGGTTTCTTGTCTGACATTGGCTAATTTATAAAGAACATACATTTTGGCCCAGCCATGGTGGCACAGTAGGATGTAGTAGGATGCCACTGAACAATGCTCGAGCCATAGGGAGAGCCTGGGTTCAAAGCCTGAGTCAACATGAACAATGATTTTGAATGGCTGGAAAGCTGAGAAGAGAATCACGGTGTGACAAGACTCTGTCAGAGGCACTTCTCTCTTTCTTTCTCTCTTTCTCTCTCTCAAAGAAAAAGAAGGGGAATCCCACCAATCTCATTTAAAAAAAAAAAAAAAAGGTTTTTGCCTTAGGGAGCATGCATTCACTGGAGAGAGAGTAAGAGACAAAAAAAGGAAAGTGAGAAATGACTCCCCAGGGGATGGCCACACTGCAATCCCTTCTCCTCCATTCTCCTCCTGGAATCTTGGGCACGCATGTGCATACACTAGGAAACATACATTCACTGGAGAGAGAGGCATTCTCAATAAAAGGAAAGTGAGAAATGACTCCCCAGGGGATGGCCACACTGCAATCCCTTCTCCTCCATTCTCCTCCTGGAATCTTGGGCACGCATGTGCATATACCCAGAGTGATTTTTTTTTTAAGCCACCAGGTCTGGGACTCGAACTGTTGCTGGTCACGTAGGAATCCAGCAATGTAACTGCTTCACCATCTGCTTCCTCCCAGAAATTTCTAACTATTCTGGAGACTGGGAAGTCCAAGGTCAAGGACACAGTCTCTGCTTCCAAGATGGTGCCTTGAATGTTGTATCCACCAGAGTGGAGGAACACTGTTCTTCGCAAGGCAGAAAAGCAAGTCCTCACGAAAGTCCTTTTTACAAAGCACCTTTAATCCATTTGTAAAGACGGAAGTGACATGACCTAAAAACCTCCCATTAGGCTGCATTTCCAATGCTTGCATTGAGCATTAAGTTTCAACGTGAGTTCTAAAGAGGACAAAACCATTCCAAACCATAGCAAATGGATCATTTTTTAACTCAGGTGTCCAGAAGTTGCCAGGGGTTTTTATCTGGACTTTTTGACATTTTCCTGTAAATGTTTAGGGGACAGGACATTACCATTCTTATGCTTAATGCAGGTAAATAACATAAACAAAGATTTAGTTAACAAATTTTAGAAAAATATATCTTGAGGGGCTGGCAGGTGGTGCAGTGGTTAAGGTGCTGGACTCCCAGGCGGCTGACCATGGTTCGAGGACCTGGTGGCTTGCTTTCTCACTTTTCCTTCCTCTCTCTGTCTCTCTCTGGTCAAATTAAAATAATAGTAATAATAACAAGTAAAGCAAAATAAATCATTTCAAATACACACACACACACACACACACACACACACATATACGTCTTGAAAAATCCAACATGTCCAACAATCTTTGTTCCCCAGCTTTATTGTGGTATAATTGATGGTTAATAAACTGAGCGTATTTAAAGTATACAATTTGATGCACTTACCTGTGAAACCATCTCCATAAGGGAGACAATGTATGTATTTGTCAACTGTAAAAGCTTTTTCATGCCAGTTTGTAGCCTCTCCTTCCAATCCATATCCTTCTCTGCAGGCAATCACTGGTCTGCATCTGTCACTGTAACATAGTTTCTATTTTATTTTAATGGAGTCATATTCTTTTTGTTTTACCAAATGATATTCAATTTTGAGACTATTTCTCAATTTGTTTACCTAAACCTTTTTTAAAAAATTGCCAGAGAATGGATGGGCTCACCAGAGAGAGAAACAGAGAGAGAGGCAGAAAGCACTCCTTAATGGGGCATGGTCACATCCCAATTCCTTCTTTTGCATTTCACCATTTATTGGTATTAGGACACACACGCACACTCACCTGGTGTGTTTTTCAAGCTTCCAGGGCTAGGATTCAAACCCCAGTGACTGTTAACCACTAGGCTGTGGCGCCCACCCTACTGAAACCTTTCCATTTATAATTTAGCCTTTTGCAAATAATATGTGCCCTCCTATCACAAGGCCACCATGAAGTCTCCTGTCACTGGTAAAATTGATCAAATCACATTTCTTTTTTCTTATTTTTAAAGAACTATTTTATTTAACTTTATTTATTTTAATTTGACCAGAGAGGGGAAGAACCAGAGAGTGAGAGAGAGAGAGAGGGGAAGTGAGAAAGCAAGCTGCCAGGTCCAGGACTCAAATGGCAGTCAACCAAGTCAGAGTCCAGTGCCCTTAACCTCCATGCCACCTGCCGGCACTTCAAATCACATTTCCCAAGTCACAAAGCTAAGGAAGAAAGAGATGGATGGGATCCCCTGCCAAGGAAGGGTCTTTTGGGGTGTAAGTTTCTCCCACCTCTGCACACCATCTCCTTGGCACAAGAGCATGGAATTTGGAATGTGTCATTTTGGCTGTGAAACGACATACTTGCAAAATGTTTGGATTAATGATGATGAAACTAAAGACCAAGTTCTCTACTCCCCCCCCACACCTTATCATTTCAGACTCCCAAGGGTGCCTGTGCAGCATCGGTGAAGGCTGCCATCGACATAGGGTACCGACACATCGATGGAGCCTACATCTACAGAAATGAGCACGAAATCGGGGAGGCCCTCAGGGAAAAGATAGCAGAAGGAAAGGTGCGGAGGGAAGATATTTTCTACTGCGGAAAGGTGAGACCTCCCCTTTGCCTTCCATCTCTTTTATCAATGATGGATCTTGTACCACTTTTCTCTGCTAAAAAACGTAGGGCTCACCAAGAGGAAAAGGAAACCTCTTTCTCCTCCTCTACTACCAAATTTTCAGTCTTGCCAACAATGTAGGGACTGACATTTAAGGCAAAGCTTCTTCTTCTTCACTTACGGACATTAACTTAAGACAACTTAATATGGGAAAAGCCAAATCTGCAAAGCAGAAAAACTGGAAAGTGGCAGGAAAGAAGGAAATGGTTAATGTATAAACATTTACCAAAACTTCCTTTAGGAGCAGCTTTCGAGGGACCAAAGCGACTAAAGCTATGCTCTAAATCTCACCTCCTAGACCCCTGAAACACTCAGACAAGGAGAGGAGTGATTTTGTCACAGAATGACCAGAAATCACCACAGAGGCACAAGACATATGAGGAACCAAGAAAATATCTCTCCCCTAAGTAAAAAAAAAACAATCCTTCATCATATACAAGCAGTACAGTGGAATTCATAGAAATGTCTGATAGAGAATGCAGAATGTTCATAGGGACAAAACTAAACAAGATGAAAGAGCTGAGAGTAAATGAACTCCAGAAGACACAGGAGAAAGGAGACACCAAGTTCCAGGAGGTGAGGAAGTTCTGAAAGAGGAAATACACACAATAAGAAAGAATCAAATGGAGCTACTAGAGATGAAGGCTGCAAAACAGGGAATCAAAACCTCCCTCGAGTATTAAAAGCAGATTAGTCCAAGCAGAAGATTGAATCTCAGATGTTAAAGGCAAGACCTCTGACCTAGAAAAAACAACAACCAAAAAAACTGAGAAAATAACCCAAAAAATGAGAACACTATACAAGAAATACTAGATACCATTAAGTGTCCAAACATCTGGATAACTGGTATCACAGAAGGTGAAGAAACTAATAAGGGTATTAATAATCTATTCCATGAAACCCTGGAAGAAAAACTCCCCAAATCTAGAGAGGCATTCAAATATCTAGACCCAAGAAATAAAAAGGACCCCTATTAGAATCGACCCAAGAAGATCTTCTCCAAGGCACATCACAGCCAGATTGACCAAATCTACAGACAAAAACAGGAAACTAAAAGTGATAAGAGAGAAATGTCAGGTTACTTATAAAGGTTATCCCATCAGGCTAACACCAGACCTCTCATCAGAAACAATGCGAGCAAGGAAGGAATGGGAAAATATATTTAAAGTGTTAAGTGAAAAACAGTTTCAACCAAGAATACTATACCCAGCAAGATTATCCTTCATATGGGGGAGGGGGGGAAATAAAAACATTCTCAGATAAATAAAACCTGAAAGAATTTACCAACACCAGACTAGCTCTTCAAGAAGTACTGAAAGGAGTGCTGTACCAGGAAAACTAAAGACACACATACAGAAATAAAAGAACAAAAAGCAACCAAGAAAATGACCAACTTAATGCTAGGGGCAAGAAAAATCAATAATAAAGTTGAATATTAACTTCCAGGATTTAAATGGAAAGATCAGACCACAACAACGCTAAAAACGCAACAGAAGAAAGATTAACTACATAAGACTGAACTGGTGAAATAGAACTTTATGACTTTTGAGTAAAACATTACTGTCTTTTTCTTTACTAAGCTTTGTTTTCCCAATTTAAGGATTTTGCTTTCTTTTGAGCTATTGATAGGTTTAGCGATATGTTAAAATGTTTTTTGGGGGACCAGCAGTTGGTGTAATGGCTATGTCACTGGACTCCCATATAGTTGACCACAGTTGAGTCCTGAACCCAGCGGCTTAAACTCATGCCAGGCACGTGTATGTGCACCCAAGATCCCAAGAGGAGAAGAGGGGAAGGGATTGCGGCATGGCCATCCCCCCTGGGGGGTGATTTCTCACTTTCTGTCTCTCTCTCTGTCTCTCTCTGTCTTTCTGGTGAGCACACGCACCCTATAGCAAAAACTTCTCAAAAAAAATGTGTTTTTCTTGTTTTTTTCTTTAAATGGAAACAAACTTTTCTCTCTTCCTGACTCCATTGGAATTGGAAAATATTTGGGAGTATTCTTATTTTGTGGCAGAATAGTTATTTGCATAAGTTCAATAGTACCTGTTGCCTTGAACCAGAAATTGGAAATATTCATTAATGGACAAGGCTTTGACTGGAATGTCATATCTGAAGATTAAACCAGAATACTATGGAGCTAAGGTAGATCTCAAGTAAGCCAACAGAAGCTCTTGGAAACATGGTCTGGCACCATGAACAGTTCTGTCAGACAGAATTAGAGAAGCTATATGAAAGAATTTGTACCATAAAATAACCTGGACTTTTCCAGCCCAGCATTGTAGTCAGTAGAAACTGCAAAAGAGCAACCACAACTAGAGGATTATTTTGAGGAAGATTTTGAAGGAAGAAAAAGAGACTGATCTTTACTAGCAGATGGTCTATCACAGACTACTTGGTAGGCAGGACTGAATTGAAAAGGTTTATGTGTGACTTGTGTGCTGGGTGTTTGCTTTTCAATAGTTTGAGTAGTTGACATGTAAATATTTTCTCAAAAATATTTAAAACCATACTGCTTCTGTTACAGAGCCACAAACAAAATTATAACAAATATTTCAAACATTATCTTTAAAATTCAGTTTTTTGAAATTTTGGAAGATGAATATTAACTGGCAAGAACTATGGAGTATGAGCAAATATTTTTTGATATGTAAAGTAAATGTTTGTGGGAAAATGTAAAAATAAATAAATAAATTAGAGGGAGGAAAAAAAAAGCCCACTTCCTGGTCAGAGGCAGCCCATTGCTTGGCTCTTCTTTGTCAACCATTCAGGCCCCCTTCCCTTTCTAAAAAAACCTTTTTTTTCCTAAAAAAAAAAAAAAAAAAAAAAAAAAAAAAAAAGATAGATAGATAAATTAATAAATAAATAAAGGAGGAGCCTTCTTTTTTAAATTTTTAAAATTTTCCATTTATTGTTTTCTGTATATTTTGCCTTTTTTCTCATCCTTGATTCCCTATCTCACCCTCTGCCATCCCCCACCCTCCTCCCACACTGTGTCTGGTATCTATTGTTGTTTTCTCTGCCTTCCCCCCCCCACACACACACATTTTATTGTTTCACTAAATATTTGAATTAATCTAAATATTTTCAATAGCAAGCACAGCTGATATATACATATCCATGAACACAAGTCTGACTTTAGGCATTATCCTCAGTGAGGAGAATGAATATACTATAAAACAGCACCTAGCTAGGGCTATATAGCTTACTGCAGTCATCAAATAAGTATTTTTAATTTTTTTTCAATGTTTAAAAACCAAGAAAATAAGAATAATTTATTTAGAAAATACAAACTTTGAGGCCAGTAGGTGGCATGGTGGTTAAGGCACTAGACTCCCACATGGCCGACCATGATTCAAGTACTAGACCTAGTGGCTTGTTTTCTCACTTTTCCTCTCTCTCTCTCTCTTTCTCACTCTGTCCCTCTCTGGTCAAATTAAAATAAATAAATAAACAATAAATAAATAAAGTTAAATACAATTCTTTTTTTTTTTTTTTGAGAGGTTTTCACTATAGGGCGCGTGCACTCGCCAGACAGACAGAGAGAGACAGAGAGACAGAAAGTGAGAAATCACCCCCCAGGGGGGATGGTCACACCACAATCCCTTCTCCTCTATTCTCCTCTTGGGATTTTGGGCACGCACGCACACGCGTTGGCCTGAGTTCTAAGCTACTGGGTGTGGGACACGAACCACGGTCGACTACGTGGGAATCCAGCGACATAGCCATTACGCTAACTGCTGGTTCCCAACAATTCTTAAAAAAAAAAAATCAGTGGGGCCAGCAGGTGGCATAGTGGTTAAGGGCGCTGGACTTCCCATGGCAAATCCCAGACCTGGTGGCTTGCTTGCTCGCTCTCGCTCTCGCTCTCTCTCTCTCCTCTCTCTCTTTCTCTCTCACTCTATCCCTCTCTGGTCAAATTAAAATAAATAAATAACTGGATAAATAAAGTTAAATAAAATAATTCTTAAAATAAAAGAATAAATTAGCAGTATAATCAGATGACACTGCCGCATAAACATATTTTTGTGAATGAAATAAGTGAGTAAAATGCGTATGAGTGCTTTAAAAAGGATAAAGAGCTCCAGTATTATAAAAATAGTGTGGATGTTAACTATCTCTCTTTGATTCTTTCAGCTATGGGCTACAAATCATGAACCAGAGAGGGTTCGCCCCACCCTAGAGAAGACACTCAAAGCCCTCAACCTCAATTACGTGGATCTTTATATCATCGAAATACCCATGGCTTTTAAGGTGAGTTCAGATACAAAAAGGTTACCCTCTGCACCAATAGCCATGTTCTGAAGCTTGTGTATTACTTAACACCAGAAAATGCAATGGTGTCTTGTTACCATAAACTTCTAATAGATCAGAGAGCATTGACCTAGCCTAACATATGCCCTCCAGGATTATGTTAGCAGACTTGGGCCTAGATCCTAAGCTTTAGACCCTCAATTCAATACAGTGTCTACTATACCATGTTTTTACAACTGTGGTTTAAACTGTCTCCATCAAATCAACATTTAATCCCCTAACTGTAGTCCACATTTTAGTTGCCCAACCTCCAAGTACACCCTTCTTCTCACACATGCAGTTAATAAAAATGTCCCCACAGAACATAATGTAAAATAATGTATACATTTAAAGACAAAAATACCCTCCAACAGGCCAGCCAGGTAATGTGGTAGTTGAGGTGACTGGATCCCACATGGCCAATCAAACAGTTTGAGTATCAGACCTGATAGCTTGAAGAACATGCCAGGCACATGTATGTATGTGCCCAAAATCCCAAGAGGACAATGGAAGAGAAGGAATTGTGTGGCATGGCCTTATTTCCTTTCTCACTCTCTCTCTCTCTCTCTCTGTCTCTCTCTGATGAGTGCATGCACTCAATAGCACATGCACTAAAAGAAGAAAAATTGCTAGGAGCATAGGGAAAGCAGGCCAGATGGTCTCTATTCCTCACTACAAGTCCCCTGCACCCAGGGTTGTTTTGGCCCAATGCCACACCCAGTGTGACACACAATTTTAGACACTACCTTGCAGTCTCACTTTGCAGCTCAGCCCTCAGCCACATAGGGACTAGAGAGGTTCAGGAGAAGGGGGCTCCTGATGGGGCCCACGTATATAGGAGCCAAACATATGAACACTGTGAGGCTCTGGAAAAATCCTTTCCCATACTCCACCCACAGAGAAAACTCGTCTCTGTAAATCTGAACCTAAGACTCGCACTATGGGTTCCACATTGCCACCCATATAAGAGGGAAACTGGCAAAGAGGTAATTCACAACAAAGAGAAGGACACAAGCTCACAGCTATTAAAATCTACTCTAAAGAATTAGCAAGTGAATACACCAGATAACTAAAAACCACAGTAGAGCCTAAAGAACTATGAGAAAAACAGCAAAAACTTACCCTAAAGGAACATAACTCTTCATCAACAATGGATAAAACACAGAAAATTACTGAAATATCAGAAAAAAAAATTTAGAATACTTATCACAACTCAATTCAATGTAAACAGACAACCAGGAGATTAGGAAATATTTCTACGACTTGAAGGATGAATTCCATAAAGAGACAGACACCCTGAAAAAGAATCAAACAGAACTACTAGAGATATAGAGTACGATGCAGGAAATTAAAACATCCCTTAAAAGTATTAACAGCAGATTAGATGATACAGAGAAAGAATCTCCGATTTTGAAAACAAAACTTCTTGGGACCAGCAGTTAGCGTAATGGCTATGTCGCTGGACTCCCACATAAGCGACCGCGGTTCGAGTCCCGGACCGGTGGCTTAAACTCACGCCAGGCGCGTGTGTGTACGTGCCCAAGATCCCGAGAGGAGAATGGAGGAGAAGGGATTGCGGCGTGGCCATCCCCTCTGGAGGGAGGTTTCTCGCTTTCTATCTCTCTGTCTCTCTCTGTCTGTCTGGCGAGCGCACGCGCCCTATAGCAAAAACCTCTCAAAAAAAAACAAAAACAAAAACAAAACTTCTTATATAGTCCAAGCAATTGAGAAAATGGAAAAACAACCATTAAAAATAAGGTCAGGCCACCGGGCCAAGCCGGGACGCAAGGTCCCGTGCAAGGGCTGCTGAGAGGTGTGTCCACGTTCCCGCCGCCCCAGCGCCCGCCGCCAGCGCGATGGGATGTAATATGTGCTTGGTGCAGAAGCCAGAGGAGCAGTACAAGGTGATGCTCCAGGTGAACGGGAAAGAGCTCTCCAAGCTGTCTCAGGAGCAAACCCTGGATGCCCTGCGCTCCTCCAAGGAGCCCCGGGTGTTTCAGGTGCTGAGACGGAGCCCCCGCCTCCGGGGGCACAGCCGCTGCCATGACCAGCTCTGGTGGACAGCGGCACTCAGACCGACATCACCTTCGAGCATATCATGGCGCTGGGCAAGCTGTGCCCGCCCACTCTGCCCATGGTCATCCTGGAGTCGTATGTCTCCTCAGAGCTCCCCCCATCAGCCATAAGTACTAAGACCCGGCAGAGTTCATGGAGGGCGGCCCACAGGAGGCAGACCGCAAGGATGAGGTGGAGTATGAGGAGGTGGAGCTGTATAAAAGCAGCCACGGAGACAAGCTGGGCCTGATGGTTTGCTACGGCACGGACGACGAGGAAGCCCTGGGGGTATCTACGTTGGAGAGTAAATCCCAACAGCATCGCACCCAAAGACGGCCAGATCCGTGAGGGAGACCGCATCGTCCAGATCAATGGTGTGGATGTCCAGAACCCGGGGGAGACAGCCATTCTGAGCCAGGAGGAAAGCACCAAATCTCCCTGCTGGTGGCCAGGCCAGAGAGCCAGCTGGCGCCCCCTGGGCCAGGAACTTTGAGGGAGGACTGCCCCCCATAGCTTCAGACCCAGGACCCCCAAGCCAGACACCCCTCTTTCAGCCAGGTACACTGTTTTGTTTTGTTTTGTTTTGTTTTCCTTTCTTTTACTGTCCCCTTACCCACGTCTTTCATTTGTTAATTTCTCTCTTCTGATTAACACATAGGAACACCCTCAATCCTACCACACCACACTCCCATCTTTCCACCCCTGGCGAAATGGCGACTTTATTCTACGTATTATTTTCTTCCCACTTATTCAGTCCTCACTTCCTTTATCTATACCATCCCTGGCTGTCTAGAAAGGTCTAAAATTACAATTCTGAAACATTCTAGCATTTTAAGACTCTCTGGAATCCTCCCTTCCACTGAACCTCCTGCTAAGAAGGAGATACATTTCTTTGTACACCTGAAGAGAATTCTTTTTCTTGGATTACATTTCTAAACACAATTGAAGAGAGACTTTGGCTGTCCCCATTCCACATCAGAAAGGAAACACACTTGTTCCTATTCTAAGAAACTTTCTGTAAAAGGTTTTTCAAAGGGAACACATCTCCCAATGGATAGAAGTAGAAGAACCTCAGGCCAGAGAGCCAGCTGGCAAAGCGGTGGAAGGACAGTGACCGGGATGACTTCTTAGATGACTATGGCTCTGAGAATGAGGGGGCCCTTAGTGCTCAGAAGCTGAAATCACCCCCTGCCCAGCCTCTTGGAAACAAGGAAGAGAAGGGGGCTCCTGATGAGGGCCCAGGCCTGAGCAACAGCCAGGAGCTGGACAGTGGGGTGGGCCGGACCGACGAGAGCACCCACAACAAAGAGAGCTCTGAGCACAACTTGCTGGGAGATGAGCCCCCCCAGCTCTACCAACACCCCTGGCACCCTGCGCAAGTTTGGCTCACAAGGGGATGCCCTACAGAGCCGGGACTTCCACTTCAGCATGGACTCGCTGCTGGTCGAGGGTGCTGGCCTGGGAGGGGGTGACGTACCAGGCCTCACCGATGAGGAGTATAGCGCTACCGGGAGCTGCTAGAGATCAAGTGCTACTTGGAGAACGGCAACCAGCTGGGCCTCCTGGTCCCCCAGGCCTCCGGCGGCAACGGCGCCCTGGACGTTAACCGCAATGAGAGCCTAGGTCAAGAGATGGCCATGCTGGAGGAGGAGCTGCGGCACCTGGAGTTCAAGTGCCGCAACATCCTGCGGGCGCAGAAGATGCGGCAGCTGCGGGAGCGCTGCATGAAGGCCTGGCTGCTGGAGGAGGAGAGCCTCTACGACATGGCAGCCTGCGAGCCCCAGAAGCACTAGCTGTCTGACATCTCCAAGCTGCCTGAGAAGTCCGACAAAGACAACACAGGCGCCTACAACACAGGGGGAGAGCTGCCGCAGCACACCAATGATGGCCAAGCCCCTGCCGGAGAGCCCCCTGAGGCGCGCTGCTGTGGGCGACTCCAACTTGAACCCGACCTCTCCCGGCCCCCCTAGCGCCAGTCTTCCCAAGGCAGCTCCCCAAGAGGGGAGCCCTGCAAAGTTCCGATCCCTCTCCCGGGATCCCGAGATGGGCCGAGACAGCACGCAGAGGAGCACGTGTGCCGCAACCCCAAGGTGGGGGTGACCCTGGAGCGCCTGGGCCCCCGAGGGCAGCCCTTACCTCTCATGGCGCCACCAGGGCCAGGGCCCAGAGAGTGAGCACTACCAGAGCTGCGTGCAGCTGGTCCCGCCTCGAGGCCTGGAGGAGCTGGGCCATGCGCCCTTGAGTTTGGCCAGCGGCCCTCAGGTGGGCGGGGTGGCAGCCACGGCCCCCGAAGCGCCACGCATGGAGTGGGAGGTGAAGGTCAGCAGCGACTGGACCCACTACGTGGCCAAGCGGTGTGTGCGGGATCAGCTGCTGAAAACCCGGGTCCTGAAGATCCGGGAGGAGCGTAGCGGCATGATCACTGACAACGCCGCGGTGAGCGAGATGAAGATGGGCCGCTACTGGAGCAAGGAGGAGCGGAAGCAGCACCTGATTCGCGCGCGAGAGCAGCGAGCAGCGGAAGCGGCGCGAGTTCATGATGCAGAGCCGGCTGGAGTGCCTGAGGGAGCAGCAGAGTGGCGACAGCAAGCCCGAGCTCAACATCATCGCTCTGAGCCACCACAAGACCATGAAGAAGCGGAACAAGAAGATCCTGGACGACTGGATCACCATCCAAGAGATGCTGGCCCACCGTGCACGCTCAGCCAACGGCAAGCGGGTCTACAACCCCCTGCTCTCAGTCACCACTGTCTGAGCTGCCACGGCGGAGCCCATTCCGGCCTAGGCCGGCTCCCTCCCACTTAAGAGTCTGGTATGTAGGTGGGTGAGTGTGTGCATGCCACAAGCATGTACACACCTACCTGTCTGTGCGTGCACATGCACGGGAGTTTACTGGAGAGAAGCCCCTGAGAAGGGCCGCTTCTCTTCCATAGGCTACTTCCTTCTCCCCGGGCAGTGACCACAGTGATGGCTGGCATTGGGCACCCCGTGATGGTCCCCTTCCAGGGCTCCTTCGACCCTAGTGCTTAGAGACAGGACGTGGAGCTGCAGAAGAGAGGCAAGGATGCCCTAAGCACAAGAGCACACCCAGCTTCACTGCTGAGTGCAGCCTCTCCGTGTGGCTGAGAGACTGTTATTTGTAGGCAAAGGCAACCTTGATTTTTGTGGTTTTCTCCCTTTCTGTGCTTATCGATCGTTGTTTTTGTTTTGTGGACCTGCTCTGGGGGCTGGCAGCTCCTCCAGGCAGCCTAACAAAAGTGGAACCCTGAGTGATGGCTGGGAAGAAGTGGGGGGAGGCTGAGAGGGAGGGTGGGGGAGGGGCAGGGGAGGGCAAGGTGGGAAGGGAAGCAGCTGTCCAGTGGCCTCCACTGACAGTGAAGGAGACTTCAGGGACAGAGGGAGCAGGGTCCGTCTAAGAAAAGACCACTGGGCCCGGCACCACCTGCACAGGGTCTCCTCTCCGAGTGGCCTGAGGAAGGCACCAAGGTGGCCAGCAGGCCCAGAAACCACAGAGGAGCACCTGGGCTGTGTGGCATGGAGAGGACTGGGGTCTTTGCTAGTGTGGCCGGGCTCCTGGGCTGTCTGTGGAGCCCGAGGCAGACAGGCTGTCCTCCCTGCCCTCGACTGCATCTCAAATAAAGCAAGCAGCCTTTCGTGCAAAATAATAATAATAAATAAATAAATAAAAATAAGGTCAACATACAGGAAATCTTACACACCATGAAAGAGTATAAGGGGTATTCCAGAAGATGAAGTGACAAGTAAAGGCTTAGAAGATATCTTTCATGGTATATTAGCCAAAAACTTTCCAAAGTTAGAAAGACATATAGAAATCCAAATTGAGGAAATACAAACAACATCAATAGATTTCACATAAAAAAATCCTCTCCAAGGCACATCATAGCCAAAATGGTAAAAATTAAAGACAAAGACATTCTAAAAATGATAAGAGAGAAATGTCAAATTACTTATAGAGGTTATCCTGTTAGACTAACATTGTACCTCTCAACTGGAACAGTGCAGACAAGGAAAGAATGGGAAAATATATAAAACTCTGAAAGAAAAACAACTTCAGCCAAGAATACTATATTTGGCAAGATTATCCTTCAAATGGGAAGAAGAAATAAAATTATTCCCAGATAAACAAAACCTGAAAAAATTCACCAAAATAGACCAGCTCTTCAGAAAATCCTTAAGGGAATACTACACCCATAAAACTGAAGGAAGATAAGTAAAGGTAAGAAAACACAAAATAATCTGAAAAAAAAAAGTATCAAAATGACAGGGATATGATCACACATATTAATAATAACATTCAATGTTAATGAATTAAATTCCCCAACTAAATGACACAGATTTGTTCAATGGATATAAAAACAGGAGCCCTCTATATGTTGCTTACAAGAAATACACCTCATTGACAAAGATAAACATAGACTGAAAGTGAAAGACTGGAAAAAAATATCATGCAAATGGATATTTTTTTAAAAGGCAAGAATCACACAAAATAGACTTTAGGATAAAAAGGGTAAAAAGAAACAAGGAAGAACACTACATAATTCTAAAAGGGTTAATTCACCAAGAAGATACAATAATCATAAATATTTATACACCCAATCCCAGGGCACCCAAATATATAAAAGAAAAACTACTAGAGCTAAAGGAAGATGTAGACTGCAATGCACTAACTGCTGGGGATTCCAACACTCCACTGTCACCACTGCACAGGTCATCTAGACAAAAAATGAACAAAGACAGGAGCTACCATAAATCTAATGGACATGACATATATAGAGCATTCCACCCAGAAACTACAAAATACACTTTTTCTCATCTCCTCATAGAATATTTTCAATATTGACCACATAATAGGCCACAAAACAAGCTTCTACAAATTAAAAATTTAGAAACTATCCCCAGCATCTTCTATATCCACAATAGAATTAAAATTGAAATCAATCACAGAATGAGCCCCCTGAAATACACAAAAACATGGCAACTAAACAATCTATTCCTGAATGACTTTCAAACTACTGAAGAAATTAAGACAGAAATCAAAAGATTCATTGAAACCCACAATAATGAACACTCCACTCTCCATAACTTTTGGGACACAGTGAACGCAGTCATAAGAGAGAAGTTCATAGCCATTAGTGCTCACCAGAAAAAATACATAAAGGTGGAAAATAAATAACTTAATATTATTATCCATTAAAAAACTGGAAAAGCAGGGGACCAGCAGTTAGCATAATGGTTATGTCACTGGACTCTCATGTAGTCGATCACGGTTCGCATCCCAGACCCGGTGGCTTAAAACTCAGGTCGGGCGCATATGCGTGTGTGCCCAAGATCCCAAGAGGAGAATGGAGGAGAAGGGATTGCAGAATGGCCATCCCCCCCTGGGGGGTGATTTCTCGCTTTCTGTCTCTCTGTCTCTCTCTGTCTGGCAAGCGCCCGTGCCCTATAGCAAAAGCCTCTAAAAAAAAAAAACTAGAAAAGCAACAACAAAAATAACAAAAGTAAAGAAATATAAAGATTAGAGATGAAAGAAATGAAATACTGATTAAAAGAACTGTTTGAAAAAAATCAACCAATCAAAAAGCTGGTTTTTTAAAAGGATAAACAAAACTTACAAACCATTAGCTAAACTAATCAAGAAAAAAAAAAAAAAACAGAGAAAGTAACCAGATAGGGAACCAGCAGTTAGCGTAATGGCTATGTCGCTGGACTCCCACATAGTCGACCATGGTTCGCGTCCCGAACCCGGCGGCTTAAAACATGCCGGGCGCGTGTGCGTGCGTGCCCAAGATCCCGAGAGGAGAGTGGAGGAGAAGGGATTGCGGCGTGACCATTCCCCCAGGGGGTGAGTTCTCGCTTTCTGTCTCTAATGTCTCTCTCTGTCTGGCGAGCATATGCGCCCTATAGAGAAAATCTCTCAAAAAAAAAAAAAAAAAAGAAAGTAACCAGATAGATAAAGTCAGTAATGAAGCTGGTAATGTTACAACCAATATATCAGAAATTTAAAAAAAAATAGAATATTACATTCAACTGTATACCAACAAACTAGAAAACTAAGATGAAATGGACAAATTTCTGGACACATACACATTACCTAGACTGAGTCAGGCTAAAATAGAAAACCTGAATAGACCAATAAAAAGTGATGAGATTGAATCAGTAATAAATAGTCTCCCAACAAAGAAAAGCCCAGGTCCAAATGGCTTCATGTCTCAATTCTGCAGAACTTAAAGAAGGGCTAATCCTATTTCTTCTCAAACATTTTTCTTTTCTTTTTTTCTTTTCTTTTTTTCTTTTTTTTTTTCCATAGGGATGGTACACTCACCAGAGAGAAAGAGAAACAGTGAGAGGGAAAGTGAGAAATCACCCCCAGGGAGGATGGCCATGCCCTCTCTGTCACAAATGAGCCAGACAACTTGGTCAATTTATACTTAATCTCTCTTCCACATGACCTACACATGGTATAGTTGAAAGAGACACATGGTACAGTTGAAAGAGGGTGGGATTTGGAGTCACACAGAAAAGGATTGATGTCCAACTCCATCATTTACTAGACTAAGCACATTGCTCTCCCTGAACTTCAATTCCATTATCAGTAAGATGGAGACAAAAAGAACCAATTCGCAAAGTGTTGTGAGAAGTCATTAAAATTACATATGAGAGGACCAGCAAATGGCATAACATATAAATAAACATATAACATATAATAAGAAAATTCGAATTGCTTTCCAAAGGACAGGGTAAATTAGTATAGTGATAACAGAAAATTCCATAGTTTAACTCCAAGACATAAGCAAATGGATTACACTTATTCTTTTTTGGCAGCCTGGAGATGACTTCTATCCTAAAGATGAGAATGGCAAATGGATATATCACAAGTCCAACCTGTGCGCCACTTGGGAGGTAAGTTCATGTGGGCCTCTTATTTTAAAAAACTATACTTTTGGGGGCCAGCAGGTGGTGCAGGATTTCCACATGGCCCACCGCAGTTTGAGTCCTAGACCTGGTGGCTTGCTTTCTTAACTTTTCTCTCTCTCTCTCTCTCTCTCTCTCTCACTCTGTCCCTCTCTGTTGAAATTAAAATAAATAAATAGATAGATAAAGTTAAATAAAAATAATTCTTTAAAAAAAGATTACAGTTTTGAAGTATAATCTGTTATAATCATAAATACAGATACATGAAATCTCTGCTTCTGGATACTGAATAATTCTAGATTCTGTTCCATTAGAAGAGAAGAATGCAAAGGAAAAAGAAGAGGAAAGTATAGACTGTAACAGTAATTAAATTTATATAGCAGAATTTAAATCACTTAAATGAGATAAATTTACAAATTAAAATATTGAATTTTTAGGGAACCGGCAGGTGGCATGGTAAGGCACTGGACACTCCCATACGGCTGACCACAATTTGAGTCCTGATCCTAGTGGCTTGTTTTTTCACTTTCCCTCTCTCTGTGTGTGTCTTTCTCTGATCAAATTAAAATAAATGAATGAATAAATAAAATTAAATAATTGTTAAAAAAAATCTTAAGTTTAGGGACCAGCAGTTAGCGTAATGGCTATGTCGCTGGACTCCCACATAGTCGATCACGGTTCATGTCCCAGATCCGGCGGCTTAAACTCACGCTGGGCGCTTGTGCATGCGTGCCCAAGATCCCAAGAGGAGAATGGAGGAGAAGGGATTTCAGCGTGGCCATCTCCCCTGGGGGGTGATTTGTCGCTTTCTATCTCTCCGTCTCTGTCTTTCTGGCAAGCACACACACCCTATAGCGAAAATCTCTCCAAAAAAAAAAAGTTAAGTTTAGAAATTATTGAATGTTTAAAAAAAAATTAATTATATTGGGACCTGCAGATGACATATGGTTACGTTGCTGGACTCCCATGTAGTCGACTCTGGTTTGAGTCCCAAAACAAGCGACTTAAACTTACATCGGGCACGTGTGCATGCATACCCAAAATCCCAAGAGGAGAATGGAGGAGAAGAGATTGCATCATGGCAATCCCTCCAGGGGATGATTTCTTGCTTTCTGTCTCTCTGTTTCTGTCTTCTTGCAAGCACGTGCGCCCTATAACAAAAATCTCTAAAAGTAAATAATAATATGATGCCAAAAAAAAAAAAAGATACACTAAAAAAAGAAATACAATTCTGGTTCTATTTCTGGGCCAGCTGCCAACTTCTTCCTCAATATAACAAGAGTTGAAAACTGTAGGAAAATAATAAGAAAATCTTTGTAGATTCACAGAGGGGAGAGTGATACTTTGAACTGGTGTAGTTATGTGGTGGGATGGCAGCTTTGACTCAGAGTAAAATGCAATCCAATAAGCTGTAAGAGGAGAATATAAGAGAACTATTAGAGTTCTTTTTATGCCTTTTTCTCCCCTGCCGTAGCCTGGGGATAATATCACTTGCTCCATACTAGCAGAAACTTAGGACTCATGTTCAGGTGTCTTCGGGAATCAAATCAGCTGCATTGAAATCCTGCACTTAGAAGAAACTGACAAAAACAAGTTACTAGCTGACCTCTGGCGGTTGTTTATCCATCTCTACCTTTTCCAACTCCAAAGGCTGGGAAATAACATTCGGATGAGTATTATCTTCTCTATACTTTCGCCTCAGGTAACAACTGAGACTTGAACTGTGGGGTTGTTTTGAGGGTTTAGAAGACATGGACTGGGTTTTCCAGTGCCTGAGGCTCTCCAAGAGGTCATATACTCATTCCTATTAAGTTAAACTATTTTGGCCTAAAACAGCCAATGTACTCCCACACTTGAATTCCTATCAATAAGCCCAAATCCTACATGTTAGGCTGTTTTGCTGAGCTGGTTGCTAGGTTACAACCAATCAGCAGCTAGGCTTCAGTCAATCACAGGCATCCCACCTTTTAAGTCATATTAATACAGACAAACTTCAAAATATGAGTTTGTTTTTTGGGTTTTTTTTTTTTAAGAAGTTTTTTTGCTATAGGGCATGTGGTTACAATAATGGTTGTAACCAATAATTTTTCTACATCACTTAGGTTTCCTCTTACTGTATACCTCACTTTGCTATTCTGCCACCTTAAAAGGCTGAGTTGACCATGAAGCTGGCCAGAGTTGTCCAGAAATCTGGGGACAACTTCCCAATTTAAATTGTGTTCACATTTGCTCTATTAAAACTCTATTCTAGGGACCAGCAGTTGGTGTAATGGCTATGTCGCTGGACTCTCATGTAGTCTACGACAGTTCGAGTCCTGAACACGGTGGCCTAAACACGCCGGGCGCATGTGCGTGTATGCCCAAGATCCCAAGAGAACAATAGAGGAGAAGGGATTGCGGAGTGGCCAATCCCACCGGGGCTGATTTCTCGCTTTCTGTCTCTCTCTGTCTTTCTGGCGAGCGCATGTGCCCTATAGCAAAAAAACTCTCAAAAAAAAAAAAACAAACCTCTATTAAATTGGCTAGTTTATTTTTCTTTTAACATTTCTAACCTCATTGGAGTTGATTGGATTTGGAATCTGACCTTCCTCTTCTCCCCTAAGGAACTGCTTGACAGAATAGTCAGTATTTCCAGTAGAAAAACAGTTCACAACCCAAAATAGCAGGCATTTGTTTCACAAGAAGACAATGTATCACAATTATAGATCCTAACATAAACAGAACAGAAAAACAAGAATATTTTAAAAGAAGATTGCCATGTTTTCTGTTATTTTTAATTTTATTTATTCATTCACTTATTTTAATTTGGCCAGAGAGAGAGAGAGAAAGTGAGAAAGCGAGCCACCTGATCCGGGACTCAACCCACGGTCGGCCATGGAGGAGGGTCTAGCACCTCAACCACCAGCCACCTGCTGTTTCCCAGGTGGGAAACAAAAATCTTTAAATTGGTCATTTAAGGACATAAGAAAAGAGAATATGAAATAGGAACAAGATACATTTTTAAAGAACAAACAAAATAATAATTAGGAAAAATTTTTAAATACAATAGATTGGGATAAATAGTGAAATGAACATAGATGTAAAAAATATTGAATTATGAGATCACAATGAGGAACTCTCCCTATTTGAAGAAGGAAAGAACAAGGGGAACCAGCAGTTAGCGTAATGGCTATGTCGCTCGACCGCGGTTCATGTCCCGGACCCAGTGGCTTAAAACTCACGCTGGGTGCGTGTGCGTGCGTGCCCAAGATCCTGAGAGGAGAATGGAGGAGAAGGGATTGCAGCGTGACCATCCCCCCTGGGGGGTGATTTCTCTCTTTCTGTCTCATGTCTCTCTCTGTCTGTCTGGCAAGCGCAAGGGCCCTATAGCGAAAACCTCTCCAAAAAAAAAAAAAATAAAAGAAGGAAAGAACAAGAAAAATTTTAAATATGAAAGAAAAGCTAAGATATGCACTTTAGCTCATTCTCTGTTGCTTAATAATAGAATATGCCAGACTGGGTAATTTAGAAAGAATGAAGTTTCCTTCAGCTTATATTTGTTTTGTTTCTGTTTTTGTTTAATTGCCAGAGGTAACACACACTCACTAGAGAAAGAGAGAGAGGGAGAAAGCACCCTGCCAATATGGTATGGTCATGCTGCAACCCCTTCTCTTCCATTTCTTCACCCTGTCAAACTTTGGGGCATGCACATGCACCCGATGTGTTTTTCAACACACTGGAGCCTGGAGTTGTACTATAGTCAGCCATGTGGGTTCCAGCTATGAGGACAACCCCAGCTCATGGTTTTGGAGGTCTAAGGTCAAGGGGCCACATCTGGTGAGGGTCTTGTTGACAAGGGCCCCTTGCAGAGCAGGACTTCACATGGCAAGAGAGCGAGGACTTGTGTGTGTATCTGCTTCTCTGCTCTGGTTTCTGTTCCCTCTCTACTCATATTTAGTCCTCGGTACCAACTCCCATGATTTTTTTTTAAATTAACTTATTTTTTGGAGAGTTTTTTGCTATAGGGCACATGCACTCACCAGAAAGACACAGACAGAGAGACAGAAAGCGAGAAATCACTCACCAGGGAGGATGGCCATGCTGCAATCCCTTCTCCTCCATTCTCCTCTCGGGATCTTGGGCACGCACACACACGCACCTGGTGTGAGTTTAAGCCACTGGGTCTGGGACTGTGGTCAACTACATGAGAGTCCAACGACATAGCCATTACGCCAACTGCTGGTTCCAGTAGTTTTTAGTTTTGCTATTGGGTACATACAGTTGCCAAAGAGATGTGCAAGAAGTAAGAAATCAGTCCCTCACCACCACCAGGAGAGATGACCATGCCGCAATCCCTTCTCCTCTAGTCTCCTCTTGAGATTTTGGGCACATATGCACTCATACCTGGCATGATTTTCAAGCCACCTGGTCCAGGACTCGAGTCATGCAGATGGCCATGTGGTCTTAGCATCTTAACCTTTATGTCACCTGTTGTTCCCATAATGCTACTTTTTTTTTTTTTGAGAGAGAGATTTTCACTGTAGGGCGCGTGCACTCGCCAGACAGACAGAGAGAGACATAGAGACAGAAAGCGAGAAATCACCCCCCAGGGGGGATGGTCACGCCGCAATCCCTTCTCCTCCATTCTCCTCTCGGGATCTTGGGAACGCACGCACACGCACCCGGCATGAGTTTTAAGCCACCGGGTCCGGGACACGAACCGCGGTCGACTACGTGGGAGTCCAGCGACATAGCCATTATGCTAACTGCTGGTTCCCCTACTTCTTTTTTTAAGTAAAACAGCTACTTGTTCTTGTCATACCAAAATGTTCTGTGCATATACAACTATAATTAGCACACCCTCTTGTAACAGGCAAAATTGTACATCAAATTATATTTCATGTTTTGTGATTATGTAAAAATGTAAAATGAAAATGATTTATCCATTCTTTTTAACATTCCTAGTAAACAATTCAGGAGGAGATATGAGGCACAAAATCTTAGTAAAA